GCAAAAAATATATTTTAAACTTAATTGTATTGAAGTTATGCGGCGCTGAGTTTGCTGTTTACATAAATACGTTAATACATCTTTGAAAAAGTTTGGCGTTCAGCTAACTGAAATATTGGAAAATAAATTATATTTGATCTAAAATATGCCATTTTAATGAATTATATATATAATGTATGCAAAAGAAGTAAATATACAACTATAACCATGTATATATACAGCAGTAAATTACCATGTTTTACTGAGGTGGGGTGGTGTTCTTCTTTGCCACCTCAACAGCTTCCGGCTTTCTCTTGAGCAGGAGGTTCAACCTCTCCTTATCTTCATCGCTATAGATGTCCACAAACCTTGGCAAATCGACATGGGCATAGAGGCAACTGGACTTGTATAGGCAATTCTGGTTAAATTTACAAAGTATCTCTTTACATTTGGTTCTTGTCATTCTAGCTATTCTTCCCTTCAATTCATCATTCAGGTGATATTCTGCACTAATCAGTATTTGAGATGGTTGACATCCTGTACTAGGACAAATGAGGAAATTATTTGTGTTCTTCTTTAAAGTTGGGGTGCATTGGGAGCAAATAGCATGGTCGCAATTTTCGAATACCTTGAAATGACTATCTGTAGTGGTACATGTCACACAAACGTAGTTGGCGGGAGTTGGTACGTAGGGCGCTGGAAAGTTGCCATTGTAAAACACGCCGGCTTTCTGCCTTCTTCGGCTTGGAGGGATTCGGTGCTCCAACCTGCAGAACTCTTCAAGGATGCATTGACCTTTCAGGAAGAATCGGCAGACATTGTCAGGTTGACCATTTGGGTTATGCAGGAAAGGACAGGTTTTAGGTTCCTGGCATCCTTCGCCTAGAAAAAATCGACAACTTATTGGGTTCATCTTGAGGTTTGATAAATTCAGGTAAGTATTAACAGAAATAGTGAAAATATCTCACTTTTTGATGAAACCAGGATTCCTGTAGCGTACTAAAGTGGTGAAAATAAAAAATGACGTGAAAACTTAAAGCGAAAAATAAGCATAATATTCGAAAATAGTATTTGGCACTTAAACAGAATATTATTATTTTTTAAAAATATTTTTTATTTATATTGATTTTTTAAAAAATTATTTAATATATATATTTGTTGTTTTGAAAATAGAGCAATCCATATAAATAAATATTTAAATAAATAAATAAAATAATATATATATATTAAAAATAAAGAAGGCATCTCCTGACCACGAGCACATGTCATAATTTGTATAATGCCCAAGAGATATAATTTATTTTTGCCATAATTAATATGTTAAAATGTAAATGCAAATTTTTCTATCTATAAATCTGTAACAAATAAACGTGGGAGCTAGCGCGCGCGGGCGAATGCTACGGCACGCCGCCGCGCGCGCAGGCTCACGAGTGTGGAAATATTCTTTTTTCGAAGCTTACATGTACAATGGCTGCCCCCTTCCATTCGACCACGACAGATTCGACATATATATATATTTATGTGAAAAATAATTGAAAAAAAAAAAATTTACGCAGTTATTTACGCCAAGTTTAGCCTTAAATACCCATTTCTTGGTTTCTCAAGAAGCCTCTGGGATCAAAAGATTTTTAGTTGCAGTAATGCAGCTTGCTTCACGCTGATGAGAGCCAACAGCTCGAAACGCGTTCGTGGATGGCTTTTCTTTCATTATCAAGAAAAAAAAAAGACTAGAGTTAAAATATAATCTAGTACATATATAGGGTGTTAAAACAGTTATTAATATTTTTTTAAAGTGCAGATTTAACATGGGTTTCCATTGCGCGCGTTTATCGAATTTGCTATTCAGAGCCTATATCTTCATTTGGAGGTTATGGGGTGGGTTCAGGGGGGGAATAGTATATTATAAATTTGTGGAATGTATATTCTTCTGTTACTGCTATTGTGCTTTCTGGATATGATGGATTCCATGATGAGCCTCTGTTGTGTTTATTGGAGATGTTGGAGTAATGGGTCTTTGGTTTGGTGAAGGAATGATCTTTCTCTTTTATATGTCGCATTCTGCCCTGAAGTCGGACAGCATCTTGCCTAGGTCGGAGTCCTTGTCCCCGACATGGGCGATTTCCATGTCAAGCAATTTCTTCAGAGCAGAGCTCTGCTCGGGTGAGAGAAACGCGAGGACGTCCTCCCTCTAATACAAATAATTAGAAATTTAGATTTTTTTTATTTTGTTTATATAATATTTTTAACCGTTGACTAGAAGTCAATAAACCTTCTTCATTATCTCTCTTATATGTTGATATATTAATGATATTTTGTGTCTTGATTCTCTATACAGTATTTCGTTCATGTTCAGATATTGAGATATCAGATATTATGACCATAAAGGTATTATAGAAAAAACAAAAATAAATAAATAAATAAAATAATGATTAAACCCTCCCATCATTTCCCTGGCTGCCCATGAACTTGTAACTGTATTATAACTCTAATGTCACTTTATACATAACCTTTCTTTAACTATCTGCTCACTCTAGTATCTATAACCTGTACATACCCGGGACTCACCTCTTGACTTGCTCTCCTTACCAGACCCACCACTAAATCTCTTCAGATGATCCCGGGGGGACTTCCAAGATGGACTTGAGCGGGTGATGTAAGGGTAACCCGTTCAAATTTTGGGCAAATGTTGTGTATGTTCAGATATTCTTGTATCTAAACGTCTTCCAGTTTCACCTACATATTTGGTTTTGAAATATTTACATTCTATGGAGTATATGGCACATGAGGGCCTTTCAACAACCATCCTAAATGGCCATGGCTATGCATAAGCATACTACGCGAACATTTTAAAAGAAGGGATCCAATTCCTCGCCCAATACTAGAATTAAGACCAAACAGCGGATTATTTCCTCTTAATTTGCTCAGTTATCCAATACCTAAGTATTTAGATGGTCCCTCTCATAGGAAGTGGTAGTATAGGGCAATTAATACTATTGTTCTTTGTTATGGAGTTTTTCTTAGAACTGAACATATATTGGGAGAACGACAATTATCAACAATTATCGACAATTTGAAAATTATCCCGCATTCCCATCCCTGGACACTTTATTTTCCGTTTATCATTACTCTACACAATTCATTCTTTCATACTTCATCCCTAAGGTTAGAAATAATCATTATTTCTCCTTAAAATAAATTTCGATTTTTCGTTCAAAAGAAACACATGCCGGATAATTTTCAAATGTCGTTCTACAATCATAATCCGCATTATATTGTATTATATATTGGGAGAGTTGCTGTGAAAAAGTTTTAATTGGAAGATAGAATCCTCTGAGATATAAATGGTAACAACACATTGCTTGCTTTAGCAAGAAAGTTATCCTCGGTGTGTTGTTACAAAAAGGTTTAATTCCGAATTTCCTTAGATGATGAGCTATTGATATGGATATTGGTGAATATGGAATACTTCAAATCTCTATAACATATATAGTCACGACCGTCTTTCCTCCTCAATTCCTCAGTTCCTCATGTCACGGATGCGCGCGCATCATCATTATGATCATTATCATTATCTAATGATAATAATAATAATAATAATAATTATTATTATTATTATATTATTATTATTATCTATATATATAGTCACGACCGTCATGGGCCGGTTCTGTCACGGATGCGCGCGCACAGGGAGGTCACGTGCTCGCCGGCAGCCAACGGGCGCGCGCCGCCGGCATTACGTCATAGATTATAAACACAAGGTAATAAGGCCAAATAAAAAAATAGTGTGTGATAAGGCACAATTTGGATTATCTACTTATATAATTGCCTTATTCTCTCTGTGTGAAGTTCACGGATAGATTTTGGTCAGAATGGATAAAATAAAAAAAGTGTCAAGGGATGGGAATCGAACCCACGACCTTCCGCTTACCGGGCAGATGCCATGACCACTAGGCTACCCTGGACATATTTTTCCGTTCATATTTTTATATTTTCAAGACACACACAGTTTGGGGCGGGACGTTTCACAAGGGAGACATCCACGGCGCCAATTTATAATTGCAATGAATAGTATTTTAATTAAAACATTTTAAAAATATATACGCACTCGGGTAAAACCCGGGCGTTGCCCGGGCCATTCGTCTAGTCAACATATATAGTCACGACCGTCTTTCCTCCTCAATTCCTCATGTCACGGATGCGCGCGCATCATCATTATGATCATTATCATTATCTAATGATAATAATAATAATAATTATAATTATATTATTATTATTATTTTATTATTTTATTATCATCAACATATATATAGTCACGACCGTCTTTCCTCAATTCCTCAATTCCTCATGTCACGGATGCGCGCGCATCATCATTATGATCATTATATCATTATCTAATGATAATAATAAAAATTATTATTATTATATTATTATTATTATTTAATATATATATAGTCACGACCGTCTTTCCTCAATTCCTCATCGCTGTCACGGATGCGCGCGCATCATCATTATGATCATTATCTTCTATAGAAGCTTCTATCTTTATAATTATGTATATTTACAAAAAGTCAATTCGCTCGCGCCTCTAGCGGTGAAAATGAGGGGTAATACCAGCTGACCTAATGTACATGTAAAGTTTGGAGCGGGATGTTTCACAAGAGTGACATCCACGGCTCCAATTTATAATTGTATCAAATAGTATTTGAATAAAAACATTCAATCGGGTAAAACACGGGCGTTGCCCGGGCCATTCGTCTAGTCCTTTCCTTTATATATATATATAAAAATGAAATGCGAAATCGATGTTTGTTATCGCATCAGGCAAAATCTACTGACTCGATCATTATGGAATTTCGCATGTAGGTAGCTGAAGATTTCGTTTAACATATAGGCTATTCAAAAAACTAAAAAAGTTAATGTGCTTTTTTTAAAAAATAAAAAACCAAAAAGCGTTAGTTCCAGTCTTTTACCGCTAGGGCGCAGCACTGGTCGTGACGATAAATGAATTTGATTTTTTTAAAGCATTGGTGGTTCAGTGGTAGAATGCTCGCCTGCCACGCGGGCGGCCAGGGTTCGATTCCCGGCTGATGCATTTTTTTTTAAACAATTTTTAAAACTCATTTATATTATATCTATATTAATAAAATGCAAATTTCATAAGAGGACATCACTAAAAACTTTCGTTACAATGCATCAATTTCAACCAAATTTTCAACATTTATGTAAAACGAGATGGAGCAGGTTTTGCTTAACACCAAAATATTTTTCCCTAACATTAACATGCGTAACTTAGCTGTTATCGATTAAATACAAAAAAAATCAACAGAGTTATTTTATTTATATATAAATACAAAAAAAAAATTCAGCAATTCATTCAACTCAATCTAAAAAAATATTCAAAACAAGCAATTTTAAGATAACACCATATGTAAAACAGTCGGCCAAAGAAAACAACAACGATATTACATCTTTCTCACATATTCACACACAATCTTGATTAATAATTAAAACTAATCTTTAACATTGTTTATTATACTTCATAATATATAATATTCGTTAGGCAAACTTTCACTCGGATAAATGTAATATAAAAAGCCAACAATGAAGAATGAATGTAAGATAAAAATCCAACAATGAAGAGTAAATATAATATAAAAAGCCAACAATTAAGAATGAATGTAAGATAAAAAGCCAACAATGAAGAGTAAATATAATATAAAAAGCCAACAATGAAGAGTGAATGTAAGATAAAAAGCCAACAATGAAGAGTAAATGTAATATAAAAAGCCAACAGAGTGAATGTAAGATAAAAAGCCAACAATGAAGAGTGAATGTAATATAAAAAGCCAACAATGAAGAATGAATGTAAGATAAAAAGCCAACAATGAAGAGTGAATGTAAGATAAAAAGCCAACAATGAATAGTAAATGTAATATAAAAAGCCAACAATGAAGAATGAATGTAAGAAAAAAGCCAACAATGAATAGTAAATATAATATAAAAAGCCAACAATGAAGAATGAATGTAAGATGAAAAGCCAACAATGAAGAGTAAATATAATATAAAAAGCCAACAATGAAGAGTGAATGTAAGATAAAAAGCCAACAATGAAGAGTAAATGTAATATAAAAAGCCAACAGAGTGAATGTAAGATAAAAAGCCAACAATGAAGAGTGAATGTAATATAAAAAGCCAACAATGAAGAATGAATGTAAGATAAAAAGCCAACAATGAAGAGTGAATGTAATATAAAAAGCCAACAATGAAGAATGAATGTAAGATAAAAAGCCAACAATGAAGAGTGAATCTATCTATATATATAAAATTGAATGTCTGTCTGTCTGTTTGTCTGCACTCTATAGATTCAAAAACCATACATCCAATCGCCGTGAAATTTTGGGATATTATTAGGTATATCACCGGGAAGGTTTTGAAAAATAATTTCCTGAATAACTTGAATATCCTTAGAGTTATTTGCAGATTTGTAGATTTAACTCGCAAGCAGCTCCCCATTGTGACGATGATAACAATATATCGAGAGATTCAAATTTACGAGTTTCAAATTATCAAAATATATCTTTTTTTTTAAATAAGTTTTTAGAGAATTGTTTTAACAAATGTTCGCTAGACAAACCTTTACTCGGGTAAAACCCCGGGCGAAGCCGAGTACGTTTTATAAGTTTATAGAGAATTGTTTTAACAAATGTTCGTTAGACAAACATTCACTCGGGTAAAACCCGGGCGAAGCCGGGCACATCCGCTAGTCTTCTATATAAATGGAAATTTCATAAGTGGTGTTCGCTAAAAACTTTCGTTACAATGCATCAATTTCGACCAAATTTTCAACATTTATGTAAAACGAGATGGAGCAGGTTTTGCTTAACATCAAAATATTTTTCCTAACTTTAAAATATATAACTTTGCTGTTATCGATAAAATACAAAAAAAATTCAACAGAGTTAATTTTATTTATATATAAATACAAAAAAAATCAGCAATTCATTCAACTCAATCTAAAAAAATATTCAAAACAAGCAATTTTAAGATAACACCATATGTAAAACAGTCGGCCAAGAAAACAACAACGATATTACATCTTTCTCACATATTCACACACAATCTTGATTAATAATTAAAACTAATCTTTAGCATTGTTTATTATACTTCATAATATATAATATTCGTTAGGCAAACTTTCACTCTGATAAAACCCGGGCGAAGCCGGGTACACATCCGCTAGTATATATATAAAAGTCAGTGTATGTATATATGTATATATGTGTGTATGTTTGTCGGCTATACACGTCCACAATACGTAACTAATCTGACTGAAATTTTAACAGTATATATAGTATATAACAGTATATCTGGAAAAACTTATAGCGAAAATTTCAGGTCTCTATCCCGAATATTCTTCGAGTTGTTTGCAAATTTGCGTTGCAAATTTGCCCTTTCGCTCGCAAGCAGCGCCTCTAGGGTGAAAATGAGAGGTAATATCATTTGACCTAATGTACATGTAAAACGTGTTTTAACAGGACATAGAGAAAAATCTGGAAGATATATTTATCGGATTTTTAGCCAAGAAAAATTGAAATTGACAGGTTCTGGGCAAAAATAGTTGTTTTTTGGTCAGAAAATGATGATGACAATATTGCTGTATCATGTTTGATTATCAGATACAAAATTATATCGGGAAAATTTTCAAAAAGCAGAGACCACGGGTGAAGACAGTTCATTTTTAGTATGCATAAACAAAATTCTAACAGAAAAATATTCATTCGAGCAGAAGACACAAAGCCAGATCATCTCTTTATAAAATTATCGCTTCTCAGACACAAAGTTTGGAGCGGGACGTTTCACAAGAATGACATCCACGGCGCCAATTTATAATTGTAACGAATAGTATTTGAATAAAAGCATTTAATCGGGTAAAACCCGGGCGTTTCCCGGGTAATTCGGCTAGTAGATTTATAAATTTGAGGATTACGAAATTCAAAGGGGCTAAAGATTTAGCAGATTTATTTCTAGGGAAATTTTCCAGCAAAATCAGGTCGATTTTGGAAATTCTTATGAGAGGGGCCATCTGAATACTTAGGTATTGGAAGACTGAGCAAATGAAGAGGAAATGATCCGCTGTTTGGTCTTAATTCTAGTAGTTGGGGAGGAATTGGATCCCTTCTTTTAAAATGTTCGCGTAGTATGCTTGTGCATAGCCATGGCCATTTAGGATGGTTGTTGAAAGGCCCTCATGCTAGGTTTTGGAAGCTGGAGATTAAAATATTTGGCGTGGCTTTACCTCTTCTAAGATTGCTGGTTGAGTATTCTATAATTTTAGGTCTATCCATAGATTCTGTATTGTCTGAGTTCTTTTATTGAGAGTGGCACTTTATAGAAGGGTTATGATAGACAGGGATCTTCTTCTTCTTTCTTATCTCCACTCAATCATATTAGGGTATCAAGTTGTGACCCTTGATGGCGTCTGTTTGACAACCATCATGGCTGGGTGAAGTAGAATGCGTCTGCCTTTGTCATTAATACTGGAAGCACTACTCAGTGGCAGGCCGACTTAGCTCCAAAATAAATGGCCGCCTTTGACATGAGGAACAGACGCCATGTACAGCCGCTCCTAACATGGAGTACAAACGCTGCTCATCCTGTATCCCTGGCTTAGGAGCCCTTACAGGGCACTATCAGCCGGGCCAGCTGAACCAAGGTTTTTTAGTGAGCTTGTTACTGTTCCCCCTCCTCCTTTTTCATCCGGGCTTGGGACTGGCAAAGGCGGAGTTGAGACAGGGATAAAAGATAGAATGTGCAGCAGACTTAGTTGCTTGATCTGCTAGTTCTTATCCCGGAGTACCTCTGTGACCTTTGACACAGCAGAGTTGTATATTGGGTGTAGAATGTAGGTTACAGATGGTTTCTGCATAGAGCTGGGTTCTTCAGATCCGAAGACTGCATATTACAGAAAGAACCAAAAGGTATTCTGACACAATTCGTAAGTATTCATATGGGAAAATCTGTAAAGATATAATCGCATAAAAATGATCATAAATTTTGTTTGGGAGGTTGAACATTCGTAATATCAGTGTAGACATCCGCCCAATACCCCACAATTCGAGGTTTTGAACAAACACTTGAAGAATCAAATATCAACTCCAAACATTTTCTGAGTTGAAATCGTGCAATGAACACATACATCGCATTTATTTAGATGATGATTATAGATGACATTTACAGCAACATACATACATTTCACCTAGTTTTTATCGTTTGGAAAGAAATAATCGAATTCTATTCTCTTGTCTATTCCGTACCACACTACGGACACCTAGAATTATGACATTTTGTAAACATGCATTGTGAGCAGTATTGAAATAGTTTCTAAAATACCAAACTTCTACATGATCTAGAACATCATTCCGGTTTTTGAACAGGTCTAGAACGACAGAGTCACATCTAAGCTGCTTTGTTAAAACTTTACCTATATTTACATACTGTTCTAGAACGACAGCCCTTCTGAGCTATATTCAAGTTTTACTTATATCTCTCTTGATATAACCCGGATTCCTGGAGCCACCACGTACCAACTATCCGGGTTGAGACTTCACGTCTAATGGTGGACATCCAGTTTACCAGATGTACTGTATGGTTCTGTAGGTCTTCAGGGGTAAATATACTTATTTCTAGGAGGATGGCCGTTTGTAACCTATGAAGGAGGTAGGCGGGACATCTGTGGTGATCGACAGTTTGGTCTTCCTCGTGACAATGTGGACAGGTAGGATCGTCTTTTGATATTTTTGCAGCATTCGCTTTGGCAAAGCCGTAACCTGTGTGGATTGTAGAGGCGGTACCATACAACTTTATTTTGGGTAGGATCGCAATGAGAGTGTTTGGGGATGCAGCTATTCTCTGAGGTTTCTTGAGGAGTGATGTATGTCATAGAGTGCATTCCAAATTTGGAGGGAATACGACGGGTTCGAACAAACTTTTTTGACAAAGTAGAATAAGTTAGCGGCAGGCAGTGTTGGGCAAATATTAATTAAAATGATTTATTAAAGATTAACAATTGATTAATTGTTAATTGTAATTTTC